AAAAAGGAAGAATACACGATAAAACACTTCCTTTAACGTATTGGCGCGTTTATTGAGTGATAAATGATTGATTGATAAAGGACATGGTAGCTTGAACTAAGTCCTTCCTTTCATATATGTGTCACTGTTGGCAGAGTGCTGTCTGTATCGTGTCACATGCAGTTTTTCTCGAGGAATGATTTGGGTCATGTGTGGCAAAAAAGACTTTTATAAGGACCTCACTGACTTAAAGATGGCCCTTCATACTCCCCTGGTGCCATGGCATATTGGTAACTACGGAAGACCGGGGTCGTTTTCTTGTCTGTTCTCAAGAGTGCATCGGTTCTATCACAACATTTACGTTCATGAATCCCTACAAGTGCAGAGGTAAGCGTTTGGCCTAGACTGTCTTCAATTCGATGGTTCTTTGTGTCGGTTGTCTTTTATACCGGTGTGGATACACAACCGGTGTAAACACTGATGCAATTGACTTGCCTTTTGTGTTCGTGATGAGTGAAACCGGTGGCTCACAAAACCTGCACTTTTTTGTAAACACACATCATCATCACAAATTTATCGTGGTTAATATGTACATGTTACAGTTTAAGACACTGCCTTCAGTAGAGATTTCTTGTGATCTTTCGTTTGCTGTAGTTTTTATAGGTTCTTTAGACTTGATGTATCAATTATTGTTAAACAGATACATAACTGCAATTACCATCCCATCCACTATGTAAGGTGACCAGTCAAACTCGGGTATTTTAACCATCCTCCACTGAGTTAAACGCTTAATGTTCTTCCAAAGAGTTATATCTGAATGTTTCACAGACAATAAAACAGTGAAGAGTTCATATATCTTATGCATATGACGAATCTAGAATTTGACAGTGTTTCGATCAGTCTCGTCGACAGTCATTGTCACTACAAACAGTTGGGTTTGTTTAGTTTGTCGAGTGTCGAGTGCCAAATTAAGTTGAACTAAATTTTAAAAGTAGTTGGTTAATGTGGGCAGTCGATCATAGAAACAGTTCTCCGTAGGCTCTGTTTATTTGTATTTAGTACAGTACACAACAGTTCCTTTACCTTAACAGCAAGCAGATATTTGAGTCTGGGAAAGATACCGCCAATATCAAACAAATAACAACGTTATAAGGAACAGACTCTCCTTTCAAATATTTAACAAGGCAACTAATTAGCTGAACTATATATATATGCGTCGCCTATGACGACACTTAGTCGGCGAAAGATCTTGTGCAGATATAAAAATAAAATTTATTACTTATACACCTGATAGACCTGCAGAAAACACTAGATCTATCTATCTATCTATCTAATATATATGTATATATCCGTCTCTCTGTGTGTGCGTGTGTGCGTGTGCGTGTGTGCGTGCGTGCGTGCGTGCGTGTGTGCGTGTGTGTGTGTGTGTGAGAGTGAGTGTGATATCTCTTTGAAATCATTTTGTACGCAAGTGCACAGATGAACGAGCTCCGAGTAGCACAGTGCATTTATCCATGACATGATTAAACTTAACTCTTTGGAGTGAGTGAGTTTAGTTTTACGCCGCTTTTAGCAATATTCCAGCAACATTACGGCGGGGGACCCAAGGAGTAGGCCTCCCCATGGGCACCAATTGTGAGGATCTGTTTCTTTATTCATATGAATCAGAACTTCTGCTTGGGTTGGCAAAATCAAAACAAGGTAATTTGGCCAAGAAGTTTAACTTAAGCTTCCGATAAATCGATGATTTAATATCGTTCAATAACCATCAAATTGCCAATTGCCTTCCACTGATTTACCCACCTGAACTTGAAATTGAGGAGACAAGTGAGACCGTCTCACATACCTTTGGTATCATTACTATTTCATAGTGATTCATTAACACATGCTCTGTCATCGTATTGCATGGTGACAATCACTGTATTGTCTGGTTCAGACCCGATTTGTTTACAAACAACATCATACAGCTGTAATACTGCTGAAACAAATACCTGCTCGTGATATCGTCACAATTGTACAATCGACTGTGCTTTTGGCAGAGATTTCTTGTGAATGTGGAAAGGGTTTTGTCACTTCTATTCACACATTGTACCCATGTGGGGTATCGAACCCGAGTCTTCAGCGTGACGAGCGAACGCTTTAATCACTTGGCTACGCCAATGCCCCACTTTGGAGTGAAGACACTGGGACAAACTACAAATGTTGCGTCCATGCTTTCCCTAAGTTTGAGGATTTCAATACACGGGGAAAAAACTAAGAATAGCTTGAAGAAAAAATAATACTTTATATACATTTTTGCGCAAACTGCCAGAGTGGTTTCCTCAACCCTGGCCCACGTTTTATACAACGCATACAACTGACAGAGTGGTTTCCTCGACCCTGGCCCACGTTTTATACAACGCATACAACTGACAGAGTGGTTTCCTCAACCCTGGCCCACGTTTTATACAACGCATACAACTGACAGAGTGGTTTCCTCCACCCTGGCCCACGTTTTATACAACGCATACAACTGACAGAGTGGTTTCCTCGACCCTGGCTTACGTGGTTTTTATACAACGCATACAACTGACAATTGGTTTTCCCACATACTGGCCCACGTTTTATACAACGCATACAACTGACATTGTGGATTTCTCGACCCTGGCTTACGTTTTATACAACATACAATTGACAGGTGGTTTCCTCGACCCTGGCCCACGTTTTATACAACGCATACAACTGACAGAGTGGTTTCCTCGACCCTGGCCCACGTTTTATACAACGCATACAACTGACAGATTGGTTTCCTCGACCCTGGCCCACGTTTTATACAACGCATACAACTGACAGAGTGGTTTCCTCGACCCTGGCCCACGTTTTATACAACGCATACAACTGACAGAGTGGTTTCCTCGACCCTGGCCCACGTTTTATACAACGCATAGAGTGGTTTCCTCGAACGTTTTATACAACGCATACAACTGACAGAGTGGTTTCCTCGACCCCGGCCCACGTTTTATACAACGCATACAACTGACAGAGTGGTTTCCTCGACCCTGGCCCACGTTTTATACAATGCATACAACTGACAGAGTGGTTTCCTCGACCCTGGCCCACGTTTTATACAACGCATACAACTGACAGAGGGGTTTCCTCGACCCTGGCCCACGTTTTATACAACGCATACAACTGACAGAGTGGTTTCCTCGACCCCGGCCCACGTTTTATACAACGCATACAACTGACAGAGGGGTTTCCTCGACCCTGGCCCACGTTTTATACAACGCATACAACTGACATTGTGGTTTCCTCGACCCCGGCCCACGTTTTATACGACCCCTGGCCCACGTTTTATACAACGCATACAACTGACAGAGTGGTTTCCTCGACCCTGGCCCACGTTTTATACAACGCATACAACTGACAGAGGGGTTTCTCGACCCCGGCCCACGTTTTATACAACGCATACAACTGATGGTTTCCTCGACCCTGGCCCACGTTTTATACAACGCATACAACTGACAGAGTGGTTTCCTCGACCCTGGCCCACGTTTTACACAACGCATACAACTGACAGAGTGGTTTCCTCGACCCTGGCCCACGTTTTATACAACGCATACAACTGACAGAGTGGTTTCCTCGACCCTGGCCCACGTTTTATACAACGCATACAACTGACAGAGTGGCTTCCTCGACCCTGGCCCACGTTTTACACAACGCATACAACTGACAGAGGGGTTTCCTCGACCCGGCCCACGTTTTATACAATGCATACAACTGACAGAGTTTCTGGTTACAATGCATACCTCGACCCTGGCTTACGTTTTATACAACGCATACAACTGACAGAGTGGTTTCTCTACCCGACCCCGGCCCACGTTTTTTATAATGCATACAATTGACCCAGTGGTTTCCTCGACCCTGGCTTACGTTTTATACAACGCATACAACTGACAGAGTGGTTTCCTCGACCCTGGCCCACGTTTTATACAACGCATACAACTGATAGCTGTGCTGCGACGATGTGTTCACAGTGCCCAGTTGATACGGCGATGATGCACAGCATCTAAAACTAGGAGCGGTTAGGAACCGTATCAGCTAGGACTGGTCACTGGCCAGAGGACGGGGCACGACAGGATGTGCACTGGTGGCCCACTACAGCCTTACCTCATGGCCCGGACGTCACAAATCGGTCACAAGAGCCATTATGTACCAGATGAACTTTGAAGCGTAATTTACCGTAAATGATGACGAACATCGGGATCCTGTTTTGATAAACAGTAGACGTCGGAAAACATCGTGTTTATCTGTAGCGCTTGCAAGAGTTATCCATTTTCTGATGAAAAGAACAGTAACTTCTTTATTTGTGAACTATCCTACGAGAAACCTGATTAGATTATCAACTGCACAATATTTGTGGAAAACAAGTGTTGAGAAAAGTGGGTTTTGGAACGTCAACACAATATTTAGTCAATGGAAATTTGAGAAACTTAAAAAGTGTATTTCTGGTAGAATGTCGGATATGTATGATATAAAAACTGGACAACACAATCTATTTCAAACGCTGTTTGTCCAGCGTGGTAAACAGATCCCTAAACCTTGAGGCTTAACAAACACTGAAACCATATCAAATCTCGTTTATTCCGACATGCGGCTCTGTATTTCAACTAAAACAGGAAGAGCAACAGAAAAACCTGACGAATCTCACTTGTTTACGCAACATGTTTAAGCCTGTTTCTTATCATATAGAACTTTTCTGAAAGGTTCAGATAAAAAATGGATACTAGTTCTCGAATAAAACTATTTGTTCATAGTTTCAGATATCAAAGTGCGGTTAAGCAGAGACCATATAATAGATGGTGTCTTGGATAAGCGACAACGATTTGCCATTTTGCAATGCTATTATCGTGAAGCATAATCTCATGTCACGAAACATTCTGCTTGAGCAGGAACTAGTAGAGACCACTCACAAGAAGATCATCTGCCCAGGCTTTGGGAAGACCGCTGACCAATTACCGTTTACCAACAAACATGGCGTGACGAGAAACGGGGGTGTGCCATTGTTGTGCCATTACCACTTGTCAACAATTGCTTCGATTCTACGCTCAAGTCATAAAGCGCCCGGACTGACGACACAAGGGTCATGTGACCATCTGCCGCGTGCACCCACGACTCCGTTGATTGGTCACAGACAGCCACGCAAGTCTTATAAAGTCCTCTCTCCAAATTTAACGTGTTTTCATTAGCAACAGTCTTGGCTGTACATATACCCCTTCCCTGCCGGAACCATTCTGAATATACTACAATGAAGTCTCAAATCACCACCTATGTGAACGTGGTGGTTCTGACAATATGTTTCAGTTTCTTTGTCGCAAAAGGTAAGTTCCATGTAGTTTACTGGTTTATGATTTATGAACTTGATGGCTGAAATTAAATGATTTATGTTGTCCATGCCCTTGTAAATGCATATCTGGATAAAATTTCGATTTCTGTGATAGGTTCGTATTTTTATACAATCATAAGTTTCTTATTAAAAGTATCATCTTGATTACGATGAGCGCCATTCCAAATATTGTATGTGTTTTGTTATGCATCGTACCAAGAAGCATAATTATATGATGTAGGTACACATGCTTCAGTTCATTGGGTAATGGGTGTCACCTGTAGGGCCGAATGTGTTTACCCTTTTCGCGAACACCTGGTGTCATCATTGATTTTCAGTGCTCCATTCATATAATTTTCACATACATTTACATCAACTAGAATAGGTCTTTGAGAATAGTCAGACTGGGTATTCCTTTGAAGTGACGTTTTATATTTGTTTCTATATTATTTCCTGTTAAACAAACTATACTACACTGATTGTTTGTAGGACCGGTATGTTCACGTTGTTAAAACAAGTCGAATTCGATTCACGTGAATTCCATTAGATATTACCGTTCGCAGAACAAGATATTTGCTGATTTCAATTTGATAACAATGTCTGTGACATATTGATATGACCAAGAGAACATGAAGTGAAAAGCTTAAATTATTAGTTATTTCGATTTCGAGAACCGTTAGGTTCATTAGCTGTAACGGTACTTGTGTGGTAATTTATATTTAATCATAGCGTTACATATTCATGAAAGTAGAATGCTGAGCAATTGCGGAATAAATGTCACCCAATGTCACTCGCATTCTGACACGTTTCATAGAGCTTGCGTTAGAGGTAAAGGTGAAATATAATCACACCAGCTAACAAGCGTTGATTGTTACTCTGATGCCTCTATAATCAGCAGGAAACAATGCGAATGTTGTAGCTATAGTTTTCACGTGTGTGAACCATGCATACAATTATATCATCCATATTTGTGAGCGGTGGGGTAACCAAGCGATTAATCCTAAAGCGCTCGCTTGTCAGGCCGAAGACCCGGATTCGATTCCCCACATGGGTACTATGTGTGAAGCCCACTGCCGGTGATATTGCTGGAATATTTCTAAAAGCGGCGTAAAACCAACTCACTCACTCATACATATCGGAAACATTCATCATAGGAATGGTTATTTGCCAAATATTCACAGCATCATGTGAGCACGTTTCTGAACGACTCCTTTAATGTTGATATCCAGAAACGTGCCTTCAACTGGACAATGACTTTGGTGCAGTGGGTTTGCTGCGCCAATATAAGTGAATTGTCGCACGATAACAATGCAAGTATGATATGTCCAAGATATTTTTATGGATGAAACTTCTTTGTTAATTTCTCTCACGACGTTTCGAGACCATTCCAGGTCCCTTCATCAGGTGATGAAGGGACCTGGAATGGTCTCGAAACGTCGTGAGAGAAATTAACAAAGAAGTTTAATCCATAAAAATATCTTGGTGAAGGGACCTGGAATGGTCTCGAAACGTCGTGAGAGAAATTAACAAAGAAGTTTAATCCATAAAAATATCTTGGACATCAATGTACAACTTCTAAATGCCACTGAAAGACAAGTATGATATGTTCTATACTGAGCGGGGGCGGTGGGGTAGCCTAGTGGTTAAAGTGTTCGCTCGTCACGCCGAGACCGCCCCCTTGGTGTAGTGGTTTGAGCGTCCGCCCGGAGAGCGGAAGGTCGCGGGTTCGATCCCCGACCGCGTCATACCAAAAGACGTTAAAATATGGTACTTGTTGGTCCCTGCCTGGCGCTCGGCATTGATGGGTACAAAAAGGACTGGTCGGCTCGGAATCTGAGTTGGGTATTCATGCTTCACTGCGGCATGGTATCTCAGTGGGCTAGCACTATAAAACCAGCTTAGGTCTTGGCTAGTACAAGCAGCCGCACATCCACATACACACGCATGCACGTTGTCATATGAGCGAAATATTCTCAAGCACGGCGTTAAACCCAATTTCACCTCACCTCAGCTCGTCACGCCGAAGACCCGGGTTCGATTCCCTACATGGGTACAATCTGATTCTGGTGTCCCCCGCCTCGATATTGCTGGAATATTGCTAAAGCGGCGTAAAACTAAACTCGCTCACTCAGAGGAATTTTCTTATTTGAAGAAATTAATTATATTGAAAATGAGTAGTACAGGGTAAGTAAAGGCACTATATCGCACCACACTTCCCTAAATGTAAATAAAGCACTTTTCTCAATAATACTAACTATCTAACTTAGGGAAGCTATCATATAATATATTCCCAAAACTATAACGTGTTTAGATTACAATATTGAAAGAAAAAGTTCGAATGAATTAACGCAACGTTGCATTAAATCGACTCCCGCGCCCTCTACCGGCCGAACATTATTTCAAGCGAACCTCATAGAGTTATTTCCATTGGGGCGCTCTTTACGAATATCCTACGCACAACTTGTTGTGGAAATCAGTTCGGCAAAGACCCACAACACCGCTTGCGACAGTTTTCGATGTACGGAGCAATTGTCTACATTCCATATATGGCAAGAGTTCTCTGTTTGGAAGCTTCATCAATTTGATCAATAGGAAGATAAAGTGAGTGCATATGCCCCAATATAATACTATAGGCCCAAATATTGTCGAAAATGTGTGACATTGTGCCTTTAATATGGGCGAATACCATACCAGGTCTAACCTGGCGCATCCGCTGATTCAGCTATGGTGAACCATGCGAGGTGCACGAAGCACGCTCTTTTGTGAAAATGCGACTTTGTGGTGTCACGTGACCACAATTTGTGCCTCACCAACAACATGTGTGCAGACATTGCTGGTGATTATGTTACGGTTAAATAATTGCCGTGACAAAAGGTTTAAGAATCCCCTTTGAACCAGCAAAATATAACACAGACAAGTCTAAAATATTCAATAATATATTGAGCAAACTATCAGCAAGCTACAATGAATCACAATACAGGGCCTAGATTTTCGAAGCTCTCTTAGCGCTAAGATAGTCGTAAGTTAATGTTAATGTATGGCACTTACGACTATCTTAGCGCTAAGAGAGCTTCGAAAATCAAGGCCCAGATTTCTAGTACAATGCAATTGAATCACAAATCTAAAGTAATGGGTCACATGTAAAATATTAACTCACCAGAGTAGTATAACCACAGTGAGATCAGATATTCTAAATAGAGCTTGTTTACAAATTAGAGCAGTCAGGCACAAAGTGTCAGGGTCAGACGATGGCGATGTGACGAAGGACAAAGGCAAACAACGATGGGCTACTTTTCAGTGAAAGATCCATGTAATTCCGTATGTTAGTCCGTGTGTCAGTCCTTGCGTCGCACCACACAACAGCCAGCCTGACACTGACACAGATTCTCGAACTTTCCAGCAAAGCATGGCTGTATCATTAAACACTTAGATCTTTCTCGAAACATGTTGAACATACGACACGACGATGTCAACACATAAACATCCGATCAAGGGAGGTAACTCTGGAGCGCTATCATAAAGGCGTGCCGCTAAAATACTGTTGCCACTGAACATATCCTCAAGTTACCATTTTTCGACGTTCTCCATTATTCGACGACCGTTATTATCGTGCGATTTTACGAGAACACGTGCGAGGTCAGAGGCCACAAGGCGCTGTCAACAACAACACAACCTCCGCTACTCGTAAAACAAAATCTGGCACAAATGGAAATACGAAAGGTAGGTTAAACATAAAAGTACACACAATACTCCCTATAACACTGAGATTAGTTATTTCAAAAAAGATCTCACTTCTAATGTCGGATTTCTCTGCTTTGAATTGCTTCAATTCACTCAAAAGTCAATCGTCAGCTAGCCCAACTAATGCCTTCCGTAAATACACACTTTTTAATGACGTCACATGGTCGGCGCTAAAAAAACTATGGAAGGTTGGAAGGGCCACTTCTTACGATCAATTTCTTTAAGACGAATGTGTAAAATGAGCGATGGTTAACTTGATAATACATAAATACCATTATTAATGAATTAAATAGGGTAAACAGTGGTGGTATATATTGTTTGCAGCCACCATCATCGGCTAGAGGTTCCTATAGAGTTGGGTACTCCCAGGAAGATTTGCATAACGCATACATCATGGTAGTTGAAGAAGATGTCGCTGTCCAACAAGCAGCAACACGATGGGGGGTTCCAATTACCACGTTAAAAGATAGAGTGAGAGGGAGGTCCATATTGACACAATTAAATCCGGCAAGTCTACGATGTTCACACAAGAGGAAGAATCACTTCTTGTCGACCATATCAAAGTTATGAGTGAGATCGGCTACGGCTACACGAGGCAAGAAACAATCAACTTGGCCACCGATTATGCTCAATATTTAGGTCACGGGGATAGGACCACGCGCCTCAGTTTGCGATGGCTGTACAACTTCCTGTCACGTTGGCCTGAGATCGAAAACCTGAAACCTAGAAAATTGGAATACGCAAGAGCAAGAAGTGCTACTCGCTCATCTGTAGACAATTATTTCAACGAGCTGGAAAAGATCATGAATAAATATAGTTTCCAACATCGTCCTCATCAGATTTACAACATCGATGAAAAGGGTTTACAAACTGACATTACGCCACCGAAACTTGTTTCGTCAACCAGGTGTAAACCGCAGGCTGTTACAACTGGAAAATCCAAAACTGTAACTGTTATAGGCGCTGGAAATGCTTCTGGAAATGCAATTCCACCGTATTTCGTCTTCCCTGGTCAACGCATGCGTGATGACTTGATGGAAGGTGCATCCCCTGGTGCTGACGGAACTGTATCTGAGACTGGCTGGTCAAATACAGACATCTTCAATATCTACATGAAGTCTCATTTTGTGAAATATGCTGCCACAAGCTCGGCTGAATCTCTACTTCTCGTCTTGTATGACGGACACAAAAGCCACGTCTCTATTGGTCTAATTCAGTGGGCAAAAGAACATAACATTGTTCTGTTTGTTCTGCCGCCCCATACCAGTCATCTGCTGCAACCACTCGACATTGGCTGCTATGGACCCGTCGAAGCTGGATGGACATCTGCATGTCACAGGCACCTGCGAGAGTCGGGCGGAAAAGCTATTACCCGATATGATGTCTGCAAGATCGCCTGTTAAGTCCTTGCTTCAACTCTGACGCCGCAAAACATCAAAGCATCCTTCAGACGATCTGGCATTTTCCCATTTAACGCCAGTGTTGTATCAGATGAAGCTGTTGCTCCTTCCTTGACCTTCAAGTCTCATAGGTCATCGAGGTCACAGCTGATATGGCTCAGGACCGTGAGTTTCTTGGTAAGAGAGGGGACGAAGTATTAGAAAATGTCCAGACAGCCAAAGTTCGAAAAACGGTCAGAAAATTGTCGGAGGAAAGCCCATCACTGAAAAATGACATCACCAAGAAACTCATTGACCATCTCGATGAACAGAAGAACAAGAAACCAAGAAAAACAGCTGTTCCAAGCACATCAGGGGTCGCAGGGGTTGTAGGGCGCAGCAGACGTACAACAACAACTGAGGCGAGAAGGCAGCGGGCAATACCTCGTTCCGTCGTCGAATGATGGAGAAACCAGGGTATATGACTCGAAGTGTGACCCACAACCAACACTCAAAACTTTAAACATCGTGACTCATAATTATTATCACCTAACCAATGTTATTACAAATTACAAAAAACACACTCTCGTAACAATTAGCAAGCCTTGAGAGATTAACAATTCTCATGCCCTGCCGGACACATGTTGAAGATGAACGTACAATTGGTATGCTCCAGGCAGGCCAGTCTACTGTGGCCGTTGTGCGTGTGATGAGATGCAGTAGACGGACAACTGACAAGCATCAAACGAAAACGACATATGATCGCCCAAGGTCAGGATGGCCATGTGTGACGTCACATGCAGAGGACAATCAAATTCGTCAACGTCATTTGCACAATCGTTTTACGTCCGCAACGTCAACCAGTACGGGGTCGCGTAACTGCCTGACGTCCATATTTGGGGCCGTGCAGTTTCTTTTTTTGGTCAAGTATATGATTTTTTTTAGGCTGCATTCAGTTAATTCATTTTCATTGGTGACTGCAGGCTGATATAAATAAGCTGGATATTTCTTTTTTTCTTAAGAATCTTGGCGAAATTTTCTGTGTTTAGCTTTTTTCCAATCCGAACAGAATTTCCCATTCACATGCAAAAGGGAAGAGATCAGAAAACAGAGGAGCACAATTAGTACCCATGGAGAGGGCTACGTCTTTCCTATATGTTTTAGCCCCAGAATTTACATAAATGCTTTCAGTGAGGTAGTTAGGCATTTTACATATTGTTTTCGTATTATCTTCACATGACATTTTGTTTCATTTTTAACTATTCACCCTAAACGTTTGAAGACAGTGTGTAACTATGGTCTCACGTTTTGTAACAAAAGCCTCATGGATCAAGGAATGAAGTGTTTCCTTAAGTTTTCCTTGCAGGATAGTGATCTACAACGCTGAACAATCAAGTGTATTGACAGAATTGCGCTTGGGCCCTTTATCATAGTGCTAATACTCAAACAGATCCTTTGAGTTTTTGGCATAAATTCCACGTGCCTCAACCACTTTCTGTGAATCTGAAGAAAGTCTCTTGCTGATTGTTTTAAGAATTATGGTTAATCTGTGAAACAGGGATTTGCTGATACATTTGCCGGGCCCAGCAAAACGTCTCTCTTTGTACGGTTTTTATGGAGTTTTAAAATCAGTACAAATGAGGAAATCTTGGCGGATTATATAGTTGAGCCCAAAAGTTGAGTCCTCGTCTGTAAGAAGAACGACAAACTTTTCAAGCTGGGAAGCCAAAGTATGCAGGACAGCTGGCTGGACAGAATGTATTAATTCTGTTTCCTCTGTGGATTTTATTGGTGACATCACGCACTGACCATGGACAGACTGACCATATGCTTCGACAACATCAATAACGATTTGAAGTTGTGACCCCAAAAGGCAGGATTGTACTCATGGTAGTTTGGTCCATATCTGACTTCATAACGGAGGGGCTTATTGTTAACAGCAGAGACGTCACCTGTGATTACATGACCAAGAGATTGGATTGGTTGGTTTCTGGCTTAACGCAGCAATATTCCAATTACTCAGCAATGTTCCAGCTATGTGGCGGCGGCCGGTAAATAATCGAGTCTGGACCAGACAATCGGCTGACTGACTGACTGAGTTTGGTTTTACGCCGCTTTTATCAATATTCCAGCAATATCACGGCGGGGGACACCAGAAATGGGCTTCACTTATTGTACCCATGTGGGCCAGACAATCGGGGGATCAACAGCATTAACATTGGTCTACGCACTTGTGGCAACCCAGTCAGCGAGCCTCTTACGACAAGCATGGGTTGCTAAAGACCAATTCTAACCAAGGTCCCACCAGCGTGATCAGCGTGATTTACAGCTTGAGCCGCCTTGACCACGTTCTGCAACAGGGTCCTTGACCTGACCACTGTAGGTCAACTGGTGTTGCACAGGAACTTGAAATCGTTTGAAATAATGTGGGGCATTCTGTGAAACTGGTAATTATCCGAGGATCTTTCTTACATGTAAAACACCAATGCCTCCTTTTTCATGAATTTCAAACTCAAGAACGTGTCGTTGTTTAGTTAGTGGACTGTTTCGGGTTTGGTCAAATATCAAGAATATGCGTCGACCTCCTTGGGAGGCCAGCTGAGTCAATAATTTGACGTTTAGCATTTCTTTGATTAGAAAGACTGCCAATGTCTTTCATTTTCATAACTGTAACACAGCAGTTGAATCCAGTGGTTCAGCCTTGTATTTATGGCAATAAGATGGATGGTATATGTTCCGAATATCCTAACCATCCTGCAAAGGATGAAGTGATTTTCAGAAATGTTGGTTGACACAACCCGAAGCATTTCTCTTGATGCCCAATCAATGCTTGATGACTTATGTCGATAGCTTCATCGGTAGTGTCTATCCAACATTCGTCAGTCCTCACAGAGTACGTTCATTGTCATATTTGGCGTTTTCAGTCTAACATAATTGAATTGGTCTTCAAAAAGTTTGGGCAGCATGTTTTAGCTGTTACGATGGAGTTGAGTTCAAGATCCGTTATCAAAATAGGACAGGTATTGTGTTTCGGATAAGTTCAAACGCAAAATCACCTCCAAGTTCACTGAATATTTTTAATGATGTTAGTGAATGAATATTTTGTTGTAAATAGGAGTTGCCTTCATGTTTCGATTTCATGACGATTGCCATATAATCGTTGACTCTTTTTATTGAATGCTACTACGCAAGTGATATCGTTGTCAGATGTGTATATCTACTTGGTTCGTGTAAATAAAAACGTCCTATACTATTAACACCTCTATGGCAAAATTAGAGTAGACTGAACAAATTCGACCATATCAGGAGCATGTGCATATGATCATATGAGTGTCAAATGATAATGACTCCATGTGTTCGCGAGAGGATCCTGTATCCTGAGTGTACACATGATTCATCGTATTTCATTTATTATGTTATCGATCGCCTATAAGAGTGATCTATTTTATGGGGTTAGATTTTAACCCGTCACCGATGTCTTTCAATGGGGTTGGGAATTATCGATATGCATCGATAGTGGCACCGCTTATATAATATTATTGTGTGAATAAATATGCAACCCTCTGGCTTTTCAGACCTCCCACACAAATATATTCTTTAGATGCTACTAGTATAGTATAGCCCCCAATACAGTAATAATAATAAAAGTGCATTTATAATGCGCTAAACTCCATTCACTACATGAATGCTCACAGCGCTAACAAGCTGAAATCACAGTCTGACATATTATTACCCCGGATAACCCAAGCTGAGGAGGCACTAGAAGGTTGATAGTCACCGGAAACCCATTTTCTGGTGGGTGAACAGAGGAAATTTTGAACAATCTCACTTGCCTAAGGGTCAGGACTGACGTCCTAGAAACTCTCAGGAGTCAAGTTGCCAAACACCCATCCAAGGACTCTCCGCGCTCAACATTGTTTAACTTCAACTGATTTGTGACCTGAGCTCTATGCACAGGACCATACACCAGTGCTGTCTGTTGTAAGTGACTGTTAAATTGGACGTTTTGGCTGTAGGCTGTTTATCCTTCGCCCTATGACCTACACGACGGGATCGGGTTAAAATGCAGTTGAGGAGTTAAGTATCCTAAGTGTCATTACAGAGATACATATCACAGGAAGTAATTGCTACCACTTGATAGTAGGAATGTCACAGTCTGCGTAGTCTAGTAAGGGGATGATGTTTCGCACGTACATCAGCAGCAGCAGTCAAGTCATCTTACCGCCTGGAATGAAAAGGTCAGATCGTCAGAAAATACACGGATTGTAATGTGAGCATTTATCCACTCCGTTCTCTGGAAAAGTGTTGTGTGATTTATTGTTGTCATTGCAATGTCGTGTATTGTCTTTAACGAAGCCCATTCCTGGTGTCCCCCGCCATGATATTGCTGAAATATTGCTAAAAGACGTCTTCGTGTCTTGAGACGTCAACCCCGGAATGTTCAAGAGCTTGGCTCCATGTTGGTATAGCAAAAGCGCAGGTTGCCTAAAGCTATGTTCGCGGGTGTGAACAACGTTGCATTACTGCGAGAGAGGGCATAGGCGGTACCGAACAAGCTACAATACAGATGGCTAATATGTGTGAAATACAACAATGACCCCGTCGTGATACTGTTGGTTGTGGAGGGTGCACCTTAATGCCTAATCAAGTTTTATTATCTTGCCTCACACATAAATGTCATTTTCTGATTGGCTGAGCGCTCTTCTATTATTTTCAATGTACCCCGCTTACAAGCGAGTAACATTTTCTATGTACCATGCTGGGAATGCCGAACTGATTTGGTACTTCGTAGTAGTCATTCTCTATCTCGAATAACATTGGATCACGTATGATGTACGGAAATTACCGATGTTTTCCGAATGCAAAGCGATGGAAGGGAGATAAAGATATATATGTTTTTCTTGTCGTCTTGTCGTCTGGAACTCCATACTATGAACCGATACCCGTGCTTCAACCAGTTCAAAGTTACCATTCAGGTACTAGTATTCGGTAACATAAATATATTGTTCGATGGTGCCTCGGGGCCCATGGGTTGATGTACCCTCGATGTTTCTTTATGTTCCCCTCGACCTTCAGCCCATGTCCCCCTCGAGACCAGTGAACAACTTATAGCGTACGCACTGTTCCATACCACGCCACGAATGCACTGTGCCATACTACCCCACGAATGCTCTGTAACATAACACGTCAGGTATACACTGTACCATACCACGCAACGGATGCTCTGTACCATACCACACCACGAATGTACTGTACCATACCACACCACAAATGTACTGTACCATACCACGCCACGAATGTACTGTACCATACCACGCCTTCAACGTACTGTACCATCCCACGCCAAGGATGCTCTGTACCATACCACGCCACGGATGCTCTGTACCATACCCCGCCAAGGATGCTCTGTACCATACCACGCCACAAATGTACTGTACCATACAACACCACAAATGTACTGTACCCTACCACGCCACGAATGTACTGTACCATACCACGCCACGAATGTACTGTACCATGCAACGCCACAAATGTACTGTACCATACCACACCACAAATGTACTGTACCATACCACGCCACGAATGTACTGTACCATCCCACGCCAAGGATGCTCTTTACCATCCCACGCCAAGGATGCTCTTTACCATACCACGCCACGGATGCTCTGTACCATACCACGCCACAAATGTCTTGTACCATACAACACCACAAATGTACTGTACCATACCACGCCACGAATGTACTGTACCATACCACGCCACGAATGTACTGTTCCATGCAACGCCACGAATTTACTGTACCATACCACACTACAAATGTACTGTACCATACCACGCCGCGAATGCACTGTACCATACCACGCCACAAATGCACTGTACCATACCACGCCACGAATGCACTTTACCATACCACGCCAAATATTCACTGTACCATAGCAGGAATGCACTGAACCCTACCACGCCACAAAATGCTCTGTGCCATGCCACGCCAGGCACGCACTGCACCATACCACGCCAGGCACGCACTGTACCATACCGAGGCAGGAATGCTCTGTCTCATGACATCCTGAAACGTACTGTACCATACTGCGCAAGAAAGGTCATGATTCAGAGATTGGCATGACACTGCTACAGGAATCTCCTTGACTCTTTCTTGGCAACGATTAGTATCGTAAAGGACTGGCCCTTCTGGAATTTTGAAATGACATAATGGCTCTACGCAGAGACTTGCCATTGTAAGGATGACTACTTCAGCTGGGGTTCACTGTAGTTGGATGTTGTAACAGTGATCAGTTAATGCAATATAGAATGCAGATTGATCCGTTAACAGGGCAGATAATGACATGGGCTTGGAGAATATGTAAAGTACTACTAGTAGGTTATCATCATCAACATCATCATCATCATCATCATCGTCAACACATCAACATCATCATCAGCATCGTCTTAAGGTCAGTTGTAGTATGGCTAGTACCCGCCCAAAGGAGTTGAGAATGCAGGTGCAATGCAAACAGATCCATTGACCATGCAACCTGTTATGGAATAGTAGTGAGTGAGTTTAGTTTAACGCTGCACTTAGCAATATTCCAGCTATTTGGCGGAGGTATGTAAATAATCGAGTATGGACCAGACAATCCAGTGATCAACACCATGAGCATCAATCTGCGCAATTGGGAAACGATGACGAGTGGAGTAGTAGTAATGGTAGTAATAGGAGTAGTAGGGTAGTAATAGTAGTGGTAGTAGTAGTGGTTATTGGTTGGTTGGTTGTATAACGCCGCCATATTGCAGCTATATCGCGGTCTGTAAATACTCGAGTTTGGACTAGACTATCCAGTGATCAATATCATGAGCATCGATCTACTCAGCTGGGATACGATGACATGTGTCAACCCAGTCAGCGAGCCTAACCCCCCGATCCCGTTAGTCGCCTCATACGACAAGCATGGTTACCGACCCGGATCTTCACGGGTCAGTAGTCGTAGTTGTAGTTGTAGCTGTAGTGGTAGTGGTAGTGGTACTAGTAGTCAAAGATTGACGAAACAGTTTATTCCAGCTTTCTCTCCCCAGTGTCCGCCATATACTGTGTACAGTGCAGCAGCGAGACCAACCCATACTGCCAGGTGCCGGACATGATTGACCCCATGCCTTGCCCAGCTGACCACGACTTCTGTGTGACCACTGTTGTCTTCATGGGGAACTTGATAAGTGGAGGTGAGCAGTCGTTTTCTATCTGTTATGGATTAAGCGTGTGTAATTGTCTGAGTGGATGTAACGCCGCATTTTACAATATTAATGTTAATATCTGCAGATCTAAGTGGTGTATAATTTTGGTCAATCCCACAAGCACGAGGACGGTGGCCAACTTGGAAACACATTCAAACAAGTCTGGGATTCGAATCCACAGTCTCTGCTAGGTACGGAGGTCTGTAAAGCAAATTCCATCTCTTCAAACGACTTCAGGGCACGATCCCTTGTGGAGTGAATAAAAGAGGCCGACCTTTTACAATAAAATACATCGTAAACCACGACGGAACCAGTGTCTTTGAAATCCGGATTAAGGGATTGCAGTGGAAAACGAATAGTGGACACACAGTAATGACCCATTAAGCGGATTTAAAGAGAAACAAAACTTTAAGTTGTTCAGCCGCGTAATCACCGGATACCAACTAGCGTCAACGACTCCCGGAACAGTAGTTTGGATCAGCTGGGGAGGACCTCGTTGACAACTAGGGGAATCCCCTTGAATTCTCATATTTGATCGCATTATGCTTACAAAACATTTCGTCAGGCAAACTTGTATATGTGTGTAAATGTGTATGAACAGATATCTACTTCTGTATACAGTAATTACTTGTACGTATTATTTTGGCACAATGATGTTCAGTTAATGATCTCAAAACTGTAACAATCACATCTTTGCGCCTCTGTACAAACACCATACTTTATTCAAAGGATTAGCCGGTAATACGTTGATTGGAGATGGGGCTGGGGAGGCACAGAATATTTCAGGCACTACTGAAGTTCGCACGTCTTGAGACCTACTACATTCCACGAGTATATGGTAGAAAATTAAAGCAGTCCTGTTTTAAGTCATACTCATCTATGCATACCTGGCTGAGCCGAATATCCATGACAAGTTCCTGCGACTTAAGTTGAACCATGTGATCTAACAGCCAACACTTGTCGGGCACCTTTGGATGAACCCTCAGTTACAACAGCTGCAGACCAGAAATTGCAAATATTTGTCGCAACATTCTTGCCAAATTACTTGATCCGCTTGTCGAAAATTGTTTTCTTCCAATTCTGAATTCTCTTCTGTCAACGATATGTCTGATATTCCATAGTATTTTTGTTCATGTAATTTCAATATAAAATCTGATTTGCTGATTCAGAAACAGAACTCAACGATAAAAATCATTTGTACAGATTCAACGTTCACTCTCGATGTGAACTTTTCATTCCTTTACATTAACTGTTGCGTTTCCAAGAGCAAAGACCCAAAATCAGGTAATGAAAACAATAACCGGTTCTTAATTAAGGAGCTGAAGCAAGAAAAGATATATCCTGGATAGAACTTTGCTTTAAATTAAGGTCCTCTGGGCAAAACATCAATAATCGATCTGGAAAAAAAGAAAACACAAAAGAAAAAAAATCTGATTCTTTGAAGTCAAATTTAAAGATTTGGCCAAAAAGGACAAGAAGTTTAAACATATATCTGATATTCAATACAGATGAAAAACATTACAGGCAACTAAATGCAGCCAAAGGCCCGCTATGGATTGCAGTGGGGTTTTGGGGGAACAGTTGTGCTCTTTACCCGGCAACTGCAACAAAGTAGTTGCTATGACTGCCAAGGATCTTAAAGGAGGAAAGGGTAAGATGAGAAATTTTAAAGCTGACGTTTTTGGATTAGTAGTGCGTTATACCGCCATGATTGGTCAAACATTCATTCACTCGACGGTCGACGGGGCATATTGCGTGTGGGTCTCCCTATGGCGATTTCAAGGAGTCTGCCCCATTTCTCCAAGCCAGCGGTCTCGGCGGTCTACCATATTGACGTTCATGTATCCCTATCATGTCCCAGATATGATCAGTGACGAAAAGATTGCTGGCCATGACATTCTATTGTTGTTGTGTTTCCGGAGGTGAGCGTTGACGATTCATGCACGGTGGATACGGACGTAGTGGTCATCAAAGGTTAGACGTCGATCTACACGAATCAGTCGACCTTGTACTGGTTTTCAATTCAACACATCTTTTTACAAAGTTCTGATGTTCGTATTTAAAGCCCTCCACCATCATCATAAGGTATCAACCGCGGAGAATGCTACAATCCGCTTCCACTTAGCAGCTAACCAAACCCCTAACATCTTCAGGCATTCCAGCATGAAGTAAAAGCCCTGCTGATCCAAAGAGCCTATCACCTGCGCCTTTGAGCCACCTTTTGATTTTAGGCGCCATATAAATTTTAACTTTATTCTTTTTACTCTGTTGACCTCTGACGCCCTGGTCTAAGTCGACCGTCAATATTTTGAGTTTGTTAGCACCTATTAGCACACAACCCTGTGCACTTAAAAGAACCAACAAATTCGTATATGACCAGATGGTGGCCACATGAATACGTGCAAAGACCTAGTTGCGGGTTCAGCAACGTGCTGTAAACTTGGACAAAGTACTGTGACTATGTGTGCCTGTCCACCCAGCTGTGAATGGGTACCTCGCAAGGATGGGAAAGCCGCAATAACTCGGTGCGCCTTGTGGCAGCAAGAGTTGTATGATCCCCAGGGAGCTGAGATTGATAATAAGATGTGTCGTTGAGATTGACATCCAATGATCGAGGGAAAAATACCAGCGCCTTGAGCATGCACTATTGCGTGGATATGTTCGCTATATAAATATCTAATAATAACAATAATCACTGGAAAAAAGTCCACATTTACAAGCTTGGAAATATCTTGGAAAGATGATGTTTCCAAGACATTTCCAATTTTCTTATTAAAAGGGTAAGTTATTTAAATCTGCTGAGCTGTAGGTTTGTTAAACATGTCGCGATGTGATTATCGCTCTTACACAACTGAGAGATTCGTCAACAGTGTGGTATGCACAGGCGGTGAAAGTTGTATTGTATTGAATTTGGTTGGTTGCATATTGTTTTATGTTGAGCTGTCAATTTGTATGAATGTGTGAATGAGGAACCTCGCATAATTATGACATTAAAATCAGACTGAAATTAACATGATTCCATGGTCAAAGTCGCAATGTTGGTGAAATGGTAGTACATGTATACGGAAGTTTGTTTCAGATTTTTTATAATCCCTTCTTTTATGCAGATAAAATTATTTAAAAATTAACGAATAATGCCATGCTTCTCTCAGAATGAGGGAAGATAATTTATGTAGTGTTTCTTATCAAATTAGATATTTCTTTTTCGTCTGAACAGAATTCACAAATGACATATGTTTTGTGTGAATGTGTGTGCATACACTCATATATAACATCTAACTTGATAGGTATTTGAAGAACGAACTGAACTGGAACAGTAGCATTTCTCATGTTATCATGTGAGATTCAAAACATTGAATGAAATAAATGTTGTACGATGAAATGGATCAGAGAACATTATAATGGCATAAATGACGCTTAATGACACATGTAAATACAATAAATATATAATCATTATCTTAGTTAACTCATGACCAGACACATCAAACTAGTACTGATAGATTTATATCTAATATGTAAAAATACAGTATTTCTTAGTACCCGAAATAGGATTACATGAATTCGGAATGAGATGTTTTAATCTGAAATCAAATTATTAGGATGCAGTTTACTAAAGTAGAACTTAAATAATCTTCAAAAGTTTGGTCATTCGCAAACTGAATCAGATCTCACTTATACTGCAGTAAACAGTATGGGGATACATAACGTAAAGTCGTACTTTAAGAATGTGGTGTCCTCCCACTTTGCCAGTTTCATTGTCAAGCAATTAATTAAAGTTAATGGTGCAACAAAGGGGAATTAGTAGGGTATTCCAAACTTTGCCAATTTATTTCATTTTACAAAATTTACAAAAATATATACGATTCATGGTATATATAAAGTTACAGATACACAAAAATAAACAAATTATACATATATAACGTAATAGTTTATAGTCACATAATGTTTCTTTAACATTTTTATCATTTTAAGCAGATGATTAGTGTTATAAATTTAGTTACAGATAAATAAATGATACATATATAACTTATAATCATGTAATGTCATTTTAATCAAATACAAACACAATACAAATATTTACAATCCCACTAAGTGGGAGACAGCATAATAAATTGATAATTGAAGCTACAAATTGTGAACACTTACTAGTATTGATTAAAATTGTTTTGCATGTGAAGAACACTGTTCATGGCTCACCACGCTCAGAAAAGGTTCACTCTCACTTAGCCAGAGTTTTCCTAAAAAGGTCTTGTTAAGACAACATTGCACTATGGCTAGGTGGGAGATGCGAGCCAGGTAATTAGCATTAGCCACTGAAGCGTGACCCTTTGTTCTAGGGCTATAGTGTATATCTACAATGCGACAGGATTGAAGATGTATGCAAGTGTGTGTATAGTTTAAACAATATATATTCTTGTACCACTAGTAGTGTACAGTGGGATTGACAAACAGTGTTTCCCCTATATTAATGTCGCTCCCCAAACTAATACATATTACAACGGTCCTTCAAAGATTAGATAATGCAGTGTCCAAGTTGCTGCATCCCAGTCTAATACGACAATGTAAAATGTAGTTATTTCTCAATCCATAGTTCTGCACAATTTCGTGTCCACAAGGCAGTCCCATCGCCCAGTGTCACTAGACAATTGGTCCATACAGGAATACATATGTGAATGGAATTTGTAAGTGTAACAGTTAAAATGTTACCTTGTCGTACACGTGTTGAGTGGTATTGGTACTGTTTATCACTGTTAAAAAATGGATGCTAACATACATAAATAGGCTTGACTTAGAACTGGTTCTTAACAAGCAGCAAAAAAACATGACTTTAGAACCGATTGTTGACTTTTTGAATAGGCTAGGATTTAGAAGTGGTTACTAGCACTCAATGATTAGGCTGGTATTCAGAAGTGGATACTTGCACTCGATATATGTGGTGTCCATGTGTTTTTACTGTATACTCAGTAATTGAGCGATGTTTAGCATTT